CAATTGGCTGGTACCGCAACGCGACCGCGAACGCTAGTAGCGAATCGTGCGATTCGCAAAGTCTAACATCGGCCTAAAGAGCAGCGGGAATTCCTTCCTAACGTATTGAGGACGGAGAAGGAGAGCATTCCACCGCTGTTTGCGTTTTGCCGTCACGTGTATTATCCACATCGAGTCAAGTGTGACGATCACGAAATGCAACACAGATGAACCGTACCGCAGCTGTAGGCAACTATATCATTCAACTATAAATATAAACCTCCCTATGCCTAGACTTTCTGCGATAATACTATTTTTGACATAGCCACTTTAGTAAGCAGGTTCGTAAAGCCCCAGTGAGAGCAAATCTTTAGTTTTCAGCACCCCATTCCGCTTTGCCGCAGCTTCTTCCACTATTACTGCTGAAAGTGTAAGAGCTTGCTGTTCACAATCTCCCTCCGTCAATTCTGAAGATGTGTCTTTTCTCAATACCCAGCACGAATTTACTTTGATTTTTTAGTGTGGTTTTTTATTCAGAGAATACAAGTCCAGAGACCTCTACAAGGAAGGTCTTTCAGGGTGTGCCAAGCTTTTTCAAAACGGTCTTTTGCATGATATAGGGGCACATGCGGGAACCACAGAACCATGGTTAATTTTTCCTGAACGGCCCTCTGAATACCAGAAAAGGGGGTCCCTAGTCACACCTTTTTCACCAGTTTTTCAATCAAAGTCTATTTGTAAGGGTTACTGACGGTCCTAATCATGAATATGGTACTAATTATTCATGCTAACTCCATTTTGCGCGAATTTTGAAACGTCAACTCGAAATGCAAAAATTTGTCACCACGAGGAATCGAACTAGGGACCCCTTTTCTGGTATTCAGAGGGCCGTTCAGGAAAAATGAACCATGGTTCTGTGGTTCCCGCATGTGCCCCTATATCATGCAAGAAACCATTTTGAAAAAGCTTGGCACACCCTGAACGACCTCCCTTGTAGTCTATTATCCTTGAATTAAATCAGTATCTCCCAAAAGAAAGGGTTGTGTGCACTGAACCAAGGTAAAGGGGTCGGAGTAATAACAAGATTCGTGCGACACTATGTTTGACCGTGGTGCATAATTTGAAAAAGTGAAACCCATAGAAGGTTAATACATACAAGTACGCGATTCCGACAACATGTCGTACATAGCCTGCATCCTCGGCCGGAGCTTTCGAGCCTGAAAAAAAAACTTATTCGTCATATAAGCAATGTGGCAATTAGAGTGTGAATTATAGGGTGGCTAAAAATTAAGTGCGCCATAAAAAAACTTCCTAATTTCATTTTTGTTCATGAAAACTGGAAGTAATTAATTTTATAGAACAGCGACTAAAACATTCGATAATTATAAAAAGTTTCGAAGTGGCCGCTGTCGGTTTTGATATAGGTCTGAATTCGTTTCGACATCAAGTCGATGGTGCGGCAAAGCTAGAGAAGAGTCCTCTGGTTTGACGAAAGTCTGCCGTCTAAGCAAGCGAAACATCTCATAATCAGCAACTTTTTTGCCCAGCTTTTGGAAACATTCGGAGAGATACCGGCAAAAAATCTGCTAACTGAAATGTTGATCATTTGGAACAGTCTCAGTGCTTTGGACAAGCCTACAGTGATTTTTATCGATAAAATCATATTAATCAATGTGAACATATATCATGAAGATGTCTCAAAAAAAACTCTAGTGCTCTGGAAGCAGAGTCACAACAATGCTGTCTTTCCTACAGGAATGGGCTACAGCTCATTGGCCAATAACGATCGAATTTTTCAAGACCAAAATCGACTGTTTTTGACGGTGGGTCTGTGGCCTGTTAAACTCCAAAATCAAATTCATCATACTTCTCTGTATGTGATCTTATTGACGGGCTAGTAGGAATTCGGAACGCAAAACTTGGCTGACATTGAAAAGAAATGGTCAGAATTTAGAATTAATTAGACGATGAACACCTCCGCCGCACCACCGACTCGAAGGAAGGACAAAGTGAGGCTTGTATCAAAACTGATAGCGGCTACTTTGAAATTTCTTCGCAATTATCGAATCTTAGAGTTTGATGTTTTATGAACTTACCAGATTGGTCCCCCGGCAACCACCGGGACCTCCTTACCTGCGTAAGCTTTACTCCTTCCAATGTGCTCCCATCCACTGGTGACATGGACACCTCGTGGAGGTGGCACGCATGCACAAAAAAGTGTCTTATATAGTAGAAGGCATTACCGTAATCGTGACATGACCTTAGAATGATATTAATTGGACCTCAGGTCTTTTGGCGGTTAGCTCCCCTCGCCCTTCTCCATCTTATCCTATTCCCTCTACTGCTCTCCAGCTGCTATTGCAGCATCATGTGGAATGAATGAGACCATGCTCAGTAGGTGTTTATATAGCCGTTGGGGTGTTATCACATTGATAGCACTGCAAAACATTGATTGCTAAAGTCATAGTTACTCGATTTTGTTAACGGTCTGTTTACTTCATGAGTTTCCCTACCACTTCATTTTGCGGACGGACACACATACATACATACATACATACATACAGACATACAAACCGACACACAAAGTTAGCGCTTTATAAAGTAGAAGGATAGTAGGTAGTAGGATTAGACA